TAAAGCTTAAAAAAAAGGAAAGAAATGGGAGTTGGTTCACAATTTGAAGAAGTTGAACTCAATATTAAGTCCAGAAGGCTGTAAAGTGCCCATTTCTGAAGAAGGGTACCAATCTGAAACGTCAACTTTCCTGCTCCTCTGATGCTGCCTGTGTTGCACACTGTGTTATCTCTTTAGTCTGAAGATGAGATGTTATTCCTCCTGTTTGCGCTGTGGTTCACTGGAACACTGCAGCATGCCGAGGACAGACAAGTGTGCATGTGAGCAGGACACTGTGTTAAAATGACCGACTACGAGAAGGTCAGGGTCCTGCTTGAACACAGACTGAATGTGTTCTGCAAAACGGGCACCCAGTCTGTGTTTGGTTTCTCCAATGTAGAGTAGGCCACGTTGGGTGCAGCGAATACAACACACAAAACTGGAGAAGGTACAGGTGAAATGCTGCTTCACCCAGAAAGACTGTTTAGGCCCTTGAATGGTGAGCAGGGAGGAGGTGAAGAGACAGGTGTTGCACCTTCTGCAGTTACATGGGAAGGGAGGGTGGTGTCGGTAGTTGTGGAATGGACTAGGGTGTCCCGAGGGAACGATCTCTGTGAAATGCACACAGGGAGAGTGAGGGGAAGATGTGTTTGGTGGTGGCGTTCTGCTGGAGTTGTCTGAAATGGCAGAGAATGATCCTTTGAATGCGGAGGCTGGTGGGATGCAAAGTGAGGACAAGGGGGACCCAATCATGTTGTGAGTGATGGGAAGGGGGCAAGGGCGGAAGCACGGGTGATAGGTCAGATGTGGTTGAGGGCCCTGTCAACCACAGTGGGCGGGTAACCATGGTTATGGGAGAAGGAAGTCGTGTCAGCAGCGCTGCTTTTGATGGTGGCATCATCCAAACAGATGCGACGTAGGCGAAGGAACTGGGAGAATGGGTTGGAGTCCTTGCAGAATGAAGCGTATGAAGAGCTGTGGTGAAGGTAGCTATGGGAATCAGTGGCTTTGTAGTGGATGGCAGTGGACAGTTTATTCCCTCAAATGGGGACAGAGAGGCCAAGGAAAGGAAGGGAAGTGTCAGGATGGTGTGTGGATCAGGGAGGAATTTTGTGCCGGTGTTGTTCCCATGTGTCTGGATGGTCGTGGCTACAGGTTTAGAAGCTGGTGCTGGAGGAACCAAAATGAGTTGCTGTAGTCCATCTGGTGGGTGAACACATTGCTGCCATGTATGATGGTGAGGGGGACGGTGAACGGTGTTCCAATCAAAAGGGCCCCTCTGGCCTGGATTGTCGCGGGACAACAATGTTAGAAGTGTAAATCAAGACAGCTTTAGAGTTACCTGGGAGCAGGTAATATTCATTGTACGAACAAATTACTGCAGATGCTGCAATCTGTACTGAAAACAACAAATTCGCCGTTCGTGTTTCGAATCCACCCAGGATTACAAGTATCTCCAGGACATAGAATGTTCCTCGGGCTGCTATTCCCGCTGGATCCTGATCCATGATCAACACCATGCGCCAGCATACGTGCACTCTACACAGCTGTCTGCAGCAACATTAACTCGCCCTCTCTCGAAGCTGCGGCGCCCCCCCCGCCGCCCGCCCCATTCTCACTTCATCCTTCACCTCGTCCATTGCCTCATTTTCTCTTCCTTACAGACATCAAGGCGTGCAAGCTCCAGCAACCTATGGCCTCCAACATCCGTACTACGGCCTGACCCTCAGCACCCCAGCTCTCAGATGCTGTCACTTTCTGTCACTCTAAGGTACTCCCCCCAACTCCAGCCCTTGCCGTGTGTTCACCCCATACTTCCTGACCTTCCTCTCTCTGACAGAGGCGACAGGCAGGAAAGTGGAGTTAAGGACGTGATTGGATCAGCCTTCTGTCTTGTGAGATGATGGATTACACAGTGGTGGTCAACTCCATGTGAAGAAATGTACTGTCCTTGGCCCCCACCTTAATGAATTTCGGGCTCGTCATGATGTTGAAGTGTTTTTCTCTGTCTCCGTGCTCACTTCTTCGGGCAGAATTCCCTGTCCCACCCCTCCGTTCCACTGATCCCTCCACCCACCTCCAGGGATCCCCCTCCATTGGTCCCCTTCCCCAGGTCCTCTTACCTGCCCTCGATCACCTCATTGAAAACTGCTGATGTGACATCAGCCGTCTCAATTTCTCTGCTCCTCTCACCCACTCTAGCCTGGCCCCTTCTGAAATTTCCGCACTTCACTCTTTTAGGTCCAACCCTAACTTTGTTATCAAACCGGCCGACATAGGTGGTGCTGTTGCAGTCTGACACACCGATCTTTACCTTTTCGGAGGCTCAATGTCAGCTCTCAAACACTTCTTTCTAACTACCACCCCTGCCCCCGCACCCCCCCATCCCCCCCACCTCCACCACCTCCACCACCACCACCACCACCATCACCCTACATCTGAACATCAATCCATTGTTTCCAGGACTGTCATCAATGTCATTACCTCCACAGATCTTCCCCCACCTGCCTCCAACCTGGCAGTCTCCCAAACCTGGACAGCTCGCTTCTACCTCCTTCCCAAAATCCACAAACCAGACTGCCCAGGTAGGCCCATCATATCCGCCTGTTCCTGCCTCACCGACCTCATTTCCTCCTACCTGACTCTGTCCTCTGTCCAGTTGCCCAGATCCTGCCGCCCTATGTCCAGGTATCCTCTGATGTCCTCCTCCATATTGTTCATCTCCAGTTTTCTGGCCCTAACTGCCTCCTGTTCAATCATGGATGTCCAATCCCTCTATACTTCCATTCCCCACCAGATAATCTGAGAGCTCTTGGCTTCTTTCTTGACCAGAAACGATCCCCATCCACCACCATTCTCCTCCGCCTGGCTGAACTTGTTCTCTCACTGAACAATTTCTCCTTTGATTCATCTCACTTCTGTCAAGTCGAAAGAGTGGCTAAGGGCACCCTGTTATGCCTGCCCCTTTATGGGGTACATGGAACGATCCTTGTTCCAGTCGTATACTGGACCCTTCCCGCTTGGACATATCCCTCCAAACCTTTCTTATTCATAAACTTATCCAAATGTATTTTAAACTTTGTAATAGTACCTGCATCCACTACTTCCTCTGGCAGTTCATTCCACACATGAACCACTCTCTGTGTAAAAAAAAGTTACCCCTCATGTCCTTTTTAAATCCTTCTCCTCTCACCTTAAAAATATGCTCCCTAATTTGGAACTTCCCCTACCCTAGGGGAACAACCCTTGTCATTCACCTTATCTATGCCCCTCATGAATCTATAAACCCCTATAAGGTCACTCCTCAACCTCTTATGCTCCAGTGAAAAAAGTCCTAGTCTTTCCAGTCTGTTTTAATACTCAAACCCTCCATCCTGGTAAATCTTTTCTGAACCCTTTCCAGCTCAATAATATCCTTCCTATAACAATACAACCAGAACTGCGCACAGTATTCCAGAAAAGGCCTCACCAACATCCTATACAACCTCAACATTGTTTCTACTTGTTTAAGGAAACATATATTGGATTTGGAGGCCATTTAGAGAAGCTTCATTCAGCTGATTCCAGGCATGAAAACATTGTTTTTTTTAGGAAACATTGAACAATTTGCCCCTAAAGGAATTTAAAGGAATGAGAGTTGACCTTATTGAAATCTATAACATTTTGAGGGGCTTGACAGGGTAGATGCTGAGAAGGGTCAGGATAGATCATCGTCATGGAAATCTAGAACTAAGGGATGAAGTTTCAAAGTAAAGGGCCTGTCATTTAAGATGGAGATGAGGAGGAATTTATTCTCCGAAAATTGTGAAGCATTGGAATTCCCTATTTCTGAGGGCTGTGACTGGGCCATTGAATCCATTCAAGGTTGAGTTAGACAGATGGTTGATCAACAAGGGAGTCCAATGTTATAGGCGACAGGCAGGAAAGTGGAGTTAAGGACATGATTGGATCAGAGCTCTGTCTTGTGAGATGATGGATTACACAGTGGTGGTCAACTCCATGTGAAGAAATAAAATACAACATGGATGCTGTAAAGCTGAAACAAAAAAGAAATTGCGACAGAAACTCAACAGTTCTGGCAGCATCTGTGGAGAGAAAGAAGAGTTAACCTGATAGAAGTGTACAAAATTATGAGAGGCAATAATGGACAGAATGAATTGTTGGAGTCTTTTTTTCCCAGGGTGGAAATGTCAGTTACAAGGGGACATAGGTTTAAGGTAAAAGGGGTAAGTTTAAAGGAACAAAAAACAGGAAAAGCTCAGTACATTTTTATACAGAGGGTGGTAAGTGCCTGGAATCCGCTGCCAGAGGACGTGTTGGAGGTGGATACAATAGCAACATTTAAGAGACATTTTGACAAATATATGAATAGGCAGGGAATATAGGAATACAGACTGCGTAGAGGAAAAATATTTTTAGTTTAGTAAGGCATCATGTGTCAGCGCAGTCTTAGTGGGGGCCTGTTCCTGTGCTGTTTTGTTTTTTGTTCTTTTGTTCTTAATGTTTCGAGCGTGTTCTGAAGAAGGGTCCACTGGACTCGAAACGTTAGCTCTGCTTCTGTCTGCCCAGATGCAGACAGACCCTGCTGAGTTTCTCCAGCTATTTCTGTTTATTTTTTTCCCCGTGTTTAGTCAGGAGCCCCATTCCTGCACAGTGATCTCTGCTGCTTTCCTTTCGAGGATGACAGTGGACAAAGAAGCTGCATGGTTCGCTGATCTCTGTTTCATCAGGACTCTCTTCCTGGTCAGCTGAACTTTCCATTTCAAGACAAGGGAGTTTAAATGTTGAAAGAATTGCTAAAGTCCTGATCAAACACAAAATTTGTCATTCACCCTTTCCCCTTGCAACCTTATCACAGACCTTCTGTTTTTGCTCTTCCCTACACCTGGTTAAAGCCTGTCACATGGCCTTATTCTGCCAAAGGACATGGGACTACCGATGTTGTCAGATGCGCTGAGCATTTCTAGCATTTTCTATTCTTACAACACTCAAAAATTCTTTGGCTTTATTTTTCAGTCACCTCCATTTAATGCACACTTTTATTTGTTTTTTAAGGAAGAAAACCTCTAATTGTTACTGAACATAAAGTCAAAGAGCTAAACACAGCAGAGATACAGACAATTTGACAGGGGTAATGAGCGCGATCAGCTCGCGTGATGCAGTGACCTGCTCCTTGTGATAACCAAGAGGTTCAGCCTTATTGTGAAACAGAACGCAAACCAAGCTGGTGATTCATGGATTGTCAAAAGCAGATGCCCCGGAGTTCTACAGGGGAGCGAACATATCTGATCTGCCCTCTCTCTGACTACATTTCCACTTAACGTAATTACACTTCCATTCAACTCTTAACCCTTCAGAGAAAACAATGAATGCAACCTGGCCAACGTTACTCGCGTCTGTAGCACATCACAAATTGTCTACACTGTACGGTTTTGCTGAGTAAAAACGTTTCTGGGTTTATCTTTGAGCCCCACATTTGTTACAATCTATGAATAGGAGCCCTGTTATCCACGGTTGTAGGAATTAAAGTGAAACGCAAAATCATACACTATGCTTCGTTTAGTGGTGTGTAACCACTGTCCTGCTCTGCCATTCATTTTGCAGGACTATTTAACATGATGCCTTGATGTAGCTTTGTGAATGAGAGCCCTGTGTTCAAAACATGAAGTTAGGGAGAGCTGGGTGATGCCATGGTTCAGATCGAGGCAACTGGATTCAAATCGAACCCAGAATGTTGTGACTAAAATCTCCTTTGCTTTCTCATGGGGAGGACCCAGCATGGAGGGGATTGGACTTTGTTATTCCAGCTTCAGCTGGATGCGAGTTCAAAGCCGTATTGAGTCAATATTTAAAATTCTAACAGGATGTGTGTGTCATTGGTTAGGCAAGTTTTCACAGCCTATTGCTGAGTATCCTGGAGAAGGTTAATGCTCTCTTGAACCGCTGCACCCAATGTGGTGAATGGACACTCACAGTGCTGGTAGGGAGACAGTGAAGAAATGGTGATCTAGTTCCAACTCAGGATGTTCTCTTGTGAAAAATAGAGGTTTGAAGTTAGGTACTCCTGTTCGGGTGGAGTTATACTTCAAGAAAATAACAAGCATATGAACTTATTTGGTAATTGTACTCAATTCCACCAGGCCAGAGACACAGATTGCAAGGGAAAATTAAACCAGTGAGTGAGGTGTGTAACAAGAGGTGGAAAAATATGGATTTTCCATCATGTATTTTACGTTACCTTCTAAAACATTGAGCTGGATCTTTCCCCTTGAAGAGGGTAGTTCAAGTTGGAATATGTCTGGACTGGGCAGACTTGCCTGAGTTTAAAGGGGCCTGTTGGACTCAGATTTTAACTACAGTCTCCCCTGATCTTGGAAGCAGGTTGTCATTGGAGACTGGGATGGGGCAGTGCCAAGGTACCTGATTAGCAGGTCCACCTTAGTACTCAGGGTCTCAGTCCTGATTGTTTTAAAAGCTGCTAGGCCATCTATCCCTCACTCCTCTTTACCCCCTACCCTTTATCGCCTGCCTAGCGAATCATGCCTCTTATACCCCTGCATGACCTGTCCATATCACCTCATTTTCCCTACACTTATCCCCATGTCAATTCATGCCACCTCCATAGCTCATCATCTAGTATACATCATATACAGAACTCAGGAACCGTGTTGAAATTAACGAATTTAAAGTTCGAGCACTCTAATAGAATGGTCTCTAATGCACACTTGATAATGGAAAACAAAAATCCATTTCGTGAAATCCATTCAAAGCTTTTAAATCTCCTTAACAGTCCAATCTCATATGAAAAAGAACTAAGCTGAGAACTTTTGTGGTGCAGATGTACTGCCCCTACCACTGGACTGAGAGACCCAGGTTCAAGTCCCACCTGTTCCAGAGGTGTGTAATAACATCTCTGAACAGTTTGATTAGAAAAATAGATTAAATAAAAAAAAAACAAGCTTCTTCGCAAAGCCAGTTAATCATTTAATAGCCAATTTAAGCTGCCAATCAAATTGTGAACTCAGAATCTCCTGCTGAGATAATTGTACCTTTTGAAGCCTCACCAAGCATTCATAATGATGTCATAATAGTTCTTGTGAAATGTCAACGAAGGGACTCTGCATGGGCAGATGGGAATTTTTTTTCCCCCAAACTTATATCTTGTCAAATAAAAGCAGTTTGTTTAACAGTGTTTTTTTTGATTCTCAATAACAGCTTAAACCTGCTTTTATTTCAAGTTTCAAGAACAGGAGATTTGAAAAAGAAAACTTCCAATCATGACACTTGTACAGATCTTATCTATCCTTCGAGAGGGTCTGTGATCACTCCTTGAACTCATGATTTCCCACACTGTGGCTTAAAGTGGAGCACTTGGATCAGCCACATTGGGATCTGATTGAACTCAGCACAGAGTTCAGTTGACGCTGTAGAGTTTGAGGGTCCGCCTGCATTGTATATTATTCTCAGCTCCTTTACAGCGAAAAAAAAAATCAGTTCTGTCGGAAGCGGGTTTGGAACTTTGGCATCTTTTAAAAGTCTGCAGAGTTTTCCTGACTCCTGTCCCATTGTGGGTGTTTCATGTGATAATATGCCTCGCCATTTTGCCCACCATTTATACATAATAATAAAAAAAACACATTCACAACAGTTTCTTAAAAAAAGCCCCACAAAGCGCAAACATTCTACTGAACCACAAGGGTGAGATTGTGAAATGTTCCTGGGCTGTGACTTTGTTGCAAAGAAATTAAGAAGTAAACAATAATCAAACAGCATATCAATCCTTGTGCTAACCAGGTGAAGGACGATGAATGGGAAAGCTGATTGATAAGCTGTGCAATTAAGCCATGTTGAGTACACCCTCTTAAAGTTGGTGTTTTGATTTAAAAAGGCACTAAAAATACTTTAATCATTCCTGGGATTGATGTGGTCTCCTTGTTTTAGGATGCAAAATGACCTTCTCCTGTTGCTCCCTCCACTGCCATTGACATCAACATTCTTGCTCCTTCTCCCTATCTCCACTGTCACCTATTTCATTGGTCTGGCCTTGACACCTTGCTTCAGTACAGGAGGAGGTGCGCAGGAGTGTAACCGAAGTCAGCATCAGATGAATGTAGAGGAGGTGGAGGGGTTTGAGCTGGAGACATGTTTAGCTGCAAGTGAAGGAGATTTGGAATTTCAAATGCCTGAAAGGGGGAATCTGGGAGTTGGTAAGACAGGAAGATCTTGGAAACACGGAGAGAGATGGGAAAAAAAATCAGTTGCATCAACTTGAGGCAAATGGCAATGTTAGAAATGCGACTGAGTCCGGACTTGACTTTTGGACTTTACAGTGTCCCTCTCCTTGTTCCTTGGGTATGGGAAATGCTGGAGAAAAATGAAGAGGTGTTCTCTGTTATCTTCCATGATTGCCAAGTGGACTTGCCAGATTGGAAAGATTATCTGCTAATGAAAACTAACAGAATTCCCACCTCCCTCCAGCTCAGCCTGCTGCCCTGGGTGTGATCCAGATTGAGAATCTGGAGCATTTGTTCCAATAATACCAGTCCTTTTGGATAGATCATTGTAACCTGCCCAACATTGTATTCCTCACCCATTGTCTTCTAGGAAACTCATTTGGTTGCTTCTTGATCCCATTTAGAGGCTGCACTGGTCACTGAGTCCACATTCCATTTCCTTCAGGCCTGAAAAGTTTTATCTAATTTCTGTCTTCCAGATCAGAGGGCTACTGGCAGCATTAGAATGACTGATGGATATTTGTACTCCCCGGTGTGGGTGATATGCATGGGCACAATAGTCAAAGCTCAATTCAAACGTGGGTTGTCCATTGGGGTAACATTCAACTTCAGTGGGGATACAAAATGGATGCTATACCCTCATGCGTCAACACAAATGAAAAATTAGGTAGACAGGGCCCTCATTGTCCACTTTGAGGTCCCCGCTGATGTTGAATTGCATGGTCTGTGTGGAAACTGGACCTTACCCAACTGATTGCACTGGTCTTCCTTATCAGCATCAGAACTACACCGGCGAGTGATGGGTCAGGAAGGTGAGCTGAGCAAAAGTATCTCAGAAGGATGTTTAACAAATCAAACCCTGGCCACGTTTCAGAATCTCACCCTGGGGTTACCAGCAAGTTTACACATAGTCGTATTTCCCGGATGCAGCACGTTTGGAGTCCGCGGTGCTGCGGTTGTAGCCGGATTTCTTTGACTCAATATCGTCGGGGTAGGTCTTCCTCACGTGGGTCATTTCCGTGTCGTAGTTTGTGCCGGCTTTGTAGCCTGTCCTGTAGGGACCCCCACGGCTCGGGACTTTGTAGATGGTCGAATTGTACCTGCACAAAATAATGACCAGTTTTACCAGGAGTCTTCTACTGACCTTTGCTTCTCTTAAAGCTGCAAATGTTTTGAAACCCACGGCACGACCTGTTGAAGTTCTCAATTCTACAAATTTTCTTTCATTCCTTCCACATTTACTGCTACCCTCCTTGGCCGCTAGCACCTCACCCAAGCAATTATCCCCCCTGTGTTTGTGATAGGCTGTTCCTTCCTAGGGTAAGGCCTCACAGTTGACCTCAGACCTGTCTGTCTGTGCAGCGTTCAAAGGGCCACTGTACAGACAACATGATTGATTTGTCTGTTTTGCCAACTTGACAACACCAAGGTATGGAGGCTGTTGGATGCTGCTTTACCTGCAGTTTAGTGATAGAAACTAGAATTTCCCTGCTAAGTGATGTGCCTTGTACCCTTATTAGCTTGTGTACATAGTCAACATCTTATATCATTGACTGCATCTCAACTAATGTTAACCTAACTCCTTGATGCTGACATTTACGATCCCCTCTCTCCCCCCAGCGCCCTGTGTTACTGACTGTATATCTACTGATGTTAATCCAGCTCCCTCACAATGTCACTCAGTAACCCCTCTGCCCCCAGTGCCCTATGTCACTGACTGTATTTCCACTGATGTTAATCCCTCTCCCTCACACTGTCACTCAGTAACCCGTCTCCCCCCAGCGCCCTGTGTTACTGACTGTATCTCTACTGATGTTAATCCAGCTCCCTCATACACTCACTCAGTAACACTCCTCCCCGCAGTGCTCTCTATTACTGACTGTATCTCCACTGGTATTAATCCAGATAGATTTCAGTTGAAATTTAATGTGGAAGATCAGGAGGTGACACATTTCGGGAGTTGCACTAACGGATACAACTTAAACATAATTGAGGGGCAGAGAGACTGAGCAGTTCAGGAACCTTGATCTTTGACAGATAAAAATTGATAAAACTTTTTGAAGACGGAAAGGGATAGGATCTTCCTTTTTACAAATACAGACACGTAATATGCAAGTAACAATATTTCTGGCACCTTACATTCAAAAAGAAGAAATTATTTTGCACAAAGAGTTGACAGGCTGTGGAACATAAGTGGAAAAATTACAGGTGCAGAATCCACAAATAAAGCTTTTAAAATAGAAGTAGATCTTTTTCTGAAGATTGAAAAGAGTCTAGAGAAAAATGTGGAATCTTAGAAGTTGGTAACACAGAGGGGGGAGGCTAAGGGGCTCCCAGCTAGCTTGCTGCTTGAAACATCCTTAATCAATCCCATTGTAGCCTTCGCTTTTTTTATTCCATCTTATCTCAGCTGGTGATTTTCTCATCTCTGAGCCTGAGCATTGTCAGTTCCTGGCCCACTGAAGACTTGAATGTCGTCAGCAGGTTCTGAGCTTGTGCTGCTTCTCAAAGCCACATCCAAATCAACTGCATGTGAACGAGCATTGAGCCCGGAAAACCATGACTCCCAATCCCTGTCCAATCCAAAGGACAAACGGGCCAATGTGGGTTGCTTTTCCGGAGACTCAGCACAGTTGTGATGGGCCAAAAGGCTTCTTCTATCCTGTATACAGCCTGTTCTGTATTCTGTTGCTAAGTTTGTCTCTGTGCCCATTATTCTGGTTTCCTCATGTTTTTGGGCACAGCATCGCCTACAATGTTCCTACGAAGATATGCCGTTCAGACAAAGTAAAGGGTAAGATAGCAATGAGAAAGGCAATGAGATTATTGTAATATCCTTTAACATTTGGTCACAGCCGATGCAGTGCTCACTGGAAATGGTAATGTAGCTATTTCAACTAACGGGCAGCGGGAGACACACAGATTGGAGAATGGGACATGGACCCCATTTGATTGGCACTTCATTCATTCACCACACCACCAACGCTCAGTAGTAGCAATGTGTACCATTTACAAGGTGTGCTGTGGTAACTCACCTCAGTTCCTCTGGCAGCACCTTATTCCCCATGTTATTGCAATTCCTTCTTTTTCAGAAATTTATCTAATTCTCTTTGAAGGCTATTATTGAATTTGTATCTACCACCTCCACAAGCGTTCCATTCCAAATTCTAAACTCTCAACAATGCAGAGTTTTATTATTCACTGATGGGATGTAGGCATTGCTGGCTGAGCCAACACTTTTTGCTCATCACTGGTTGCCCTTGGCTGTAGGTAGACCCACAATGCTGTTAGGGAGGGAATTCCAGTATTTTGGCCCAGCAACAGTGAAGGAACACTGATATATTTCCAAGTCAAGATGGTGAGTGGCTTGGATGGGTATTTGCAGGTGATGGTGTTCCCATGTATCTATTACCCTTGTCCATTCAGTGTAGGGGTCGGGAGGTCATGTTGTGGCTGTACAGTACCTTGGTTAGGCCACTTCTGTTTCCCTGCTATAGGAAAGATGTTCTGAAACTTGAAAGCGTCAGAAAAGGTTTACAAGGATGTTGCCAGGGTTGCAGGGTTTGAGCTATAGAGAGAGATTGAATACCGTGAGGCTTTTTTGCCCAGGAGCATTGGAGTCTGAGGAGTGACCTTATAAAATTGGAAAGGGCTTGGATAGGATGAATAGCCAAGGTCGATTTCCCAGGGCATGGGAGTCCAAAACTAGAGGGCATAGGTTTAAGGTGAGAGGGGCAGGTTTAAAAGGGGACCTAAGGGACAATGTTTTCATGCAAAAGGTGGTGCGTGTATGGAATGAGTTGCCAGAGGAGGTGATGGAGGCTGGTACAATTACAACATTTAAAAGGCATCTGGATGGGTAAATGAATAGGAATGGTTTAGAGGGATATGGGCCAAATGCTGGCAATGGGACTAGATTACTTTAGAATATCTGGTTGCCTCGGATGAGTTGAACCGAAGGGTCTGTTTCCGTGCTGTGCAGCTCCATAACTATGATAGTTGTGGGTTTGGAAGGTGCTACCTAATGAGCCTTCATGAATTTCTGCGGTGCATCTTGTAAATAACATACACTGCTGCTGCTGAGCATCATTGGTGGATAAAATGCCAATCAAGCAAGATGCTTTCGAGTCTTACTTTTAACACAGTGAAGATGCCAAGAGCAAGTCAGCTGGAACAATTGAGCATCACTATGTGAGCATCACGGTGTGCATTTTGAAAATCCCTCGAAAATAACTCGATATTCCTGCCCTCAACAAAACAAAGTGAGAAGGGAACTTGAAACAGTGGAGAGTGTGGATCACAAAGGGTTCTTTCCATTTTCGATCTGGCTTTGTGCTGAAGATAATTCACTTGAACATCTGAAGAAAACCATGGAAGCCTTGAGTGAAGACTGTATTGCATTGGAGATTCAAGTGATGGTTGACATTAACAACCATTGATGTTACTCTCTATTGTTATATGTGCAGTAACTCACCGAGTATCCTCAGGTACCAGACCTCGACACGAGATACACATCACTATTCCACCGATAACAAGCAGGCCTCCAGAAACCCAGCCTATAAACAAGGCCGAGCCAAATGTGTACCTGCACAGAACAACAACCTTATCAGTCTGAATAGTTAAGCATGGAAGGAGGCCATTCAGCCCATCATGTCCCAGCTAGTACTTTGCAAGAGCAACCCAACTTGCTCCACTGCTGCAACTCCCTTCCTGCCATTCTGCAAATTGTTTCTCTTCAGATAACTATTAAATTACCTTTTGAAGGCAGCTATTAAATCTGCCTCTGACGTTCTCTCAGGCAGTGCACTCCAGATTCCAACCACTTGCCAGAGGAAAAAAAATTAATCTGATCTTATCTTTGGTTCTTTTGCCTTTCCCCTTAAATCAGGGGACACAAGGCACAGTGGTACTGTGACTGAATGAGTAATCAAAGGCCCAGGCTAATGTTCCAGAATCCCACCACAACAGATGGTGAAATTTGAATTCAAGAAATCCCTGGAATTAAAAGCTGGCCTAATGGCAACCATCTAACCACTACATTTGTCATAAAAAAAACCCCATAAAATTATCACTGTTTGGGAACCCTTCAGTGAGGGTTACTAAAACTATAACCACAAGTCACTGGCTGTAAAGAATATTGGGACTTCCTGATGACTTGAAAGATCTCATGGGGTGATGTCTGGTTTGGGCGAGATGTCTGTTTTGGCGGTATTAGCTATTTTGGGGGAGATGTCTATTTTGGGGGGATGGCCGGTTTGGGGAGATGGCTGGTGGAATGGCAACTAGAATTGAAGTCTTACCTCAATAGTGAAACTGCCCTTGATTGTTCTAAAAACCCATCTAGATTCACTAATATCCTTTAGGGATGGAAATCCTTACCATGAGTCACATCCTTACAAGTGACTCCAGACCCATTGCTGTACGGTTGACTGTTAACTGCCTTCTGAAATAGCCTTGCAGGCCACGCAGTGCAAGAGCAATTGAGGATAAGTAACAAATTGTAGCCCCCCACATCCCATGAAAGAATAAATATATAAGTGAGACTCGTTCCCTTCTTGAATGTGGGGAAAAATGAATGAAAGCTAGTAACGCAGTTTGCTGACTCTTACCTCTGCTGAACTCCCCCTTGATTCCCAAGCATTGACAAGTTTGCCTCCCAGAAGTTTGTCACCAACATGTTTCCGTAGATCGATACACCAGCTATGCAACAAACTCCTGTCCAGGTACAAACAAGAACTGTTAGTTGAGGGTTAAGAGAAGAAATCCATTCTCAATCGACCCATGCTGGGCACAGCGCTTCAGGAAGACTGCCAGGGCTTTTGAGAGGGCGAGGAGGAGATATATCAATGAAATGTCAGGTATCAGGGACTCAGTGGAGAAGCCAGCATTGATCTCCTTATAGCAGAGACAGTTAAGGGGAAACTGAAAAAAAGGTGTTGAATTCAAGCCTGATCCAAATAAGATTTATTTATTTGTCAGAATGGAATCTTTGTGTTTCTCACAGTGAGTGATGTTGAGACATGAGACCTTTAGCTATTTCAGTCAGTTGATGTGAGCATTAAATAGGGTCTGCTCAAATGCAATGCAGTCAGGTCCCTTTACATCCTCCCAGCACCTCAGTAACAAACCTATTACAGCACTCCATGTCCTAAAAGTATTTAATATTCTTCAACCATTATTGCAATTATTCATTTGATTTGCATTCGTATGTACTTCATAATGTTACTAGCTGGCTAGTGCTGGACATAAGAGCAATGTGGATCATTGACAGTCTTGGGGTTGGGGGAGGAGGAGTGCATATTGTGGTTTAATTACAGCAACTGTTTTTGTTTGCTGTTGAATATTTATCAGTTATTAAATTTCTTAGCGTCATTGGACTGAGAGTCTGAAATACACTGGATACAATCTGGACAATTCTGGAGCTGAATTCTGGTCCTGTCCAAAACCAGGGCAACCGTACAATCCAAATATCACACAGGGGCCTGTCTATGGGGCGAAGGTGGTTAACACGTCCATCAGGATAATCTCTCGTGCCACAGACTTATTCTCACTTAACCTAATGTAGCCTGGCAGAGCTCCAATCTGGAAAGCAAGATTTTGTGGCTTAGATTGGGTACAGCTACAAAGTGTTGCGGAAATTCATCGCTGCTCAGCGTTGGCAGTTAGGATGCAGAGCTGTTGAGCCCTGTGTAACTGATCCCCAGGGAGACTGAAACCCACACCTCCTTCAGCTGACGGAGAGTGAGGGATTAAACCTGCCAAAGTTGATTTACATGTTGCCAGAGACCTGTGGGCTACGGAGGACGAGAAATGGCGTGATTGACCAATACATGAGGCCAGTTGGCGAGCTGGGCATGTTTTGGTGGGTGAGCCATACCTGCAACGATAAACAGGATCCCAGAGGTGAGCGTCAGGTTGGCCTTTGAAGCATCGTCCATGGTTCCCAGTCGAATGCACTTGAGGGATAAGATGGAGACACCGGAACCGATTAAAGCGAGAACGATGGCGACGATCATGAGTGCACGGACGGCCTGGAAGGTGGCTGTGGGCACAAGGTACAAGCATTAGCGTTGCTGCTGGATATCGCCCATTGACCTCTCACTGCATCATGGGAAGGCTTACCTGGCGGAGGTGAGGGCACAGCAAAACAGCCAATCGGTCATCAGAAGGGACCATGGGAGGGACATCACGATTTCTGAGTGTTTTCTCACACAAGTGTGAACATCGAGAGGACTGACTGGGGCTGAGAGAGCTGATGCGATCTCGCACATTTTGCACCCCGCTCCCTCTGAATGGACTTGAGTGGGTGAGCACACTGCCCTGCTGTGGGACTGACTTTTTTAGACCAGGGGGAGCACTCATTTACAAATGGGCTGCAGCGGGTTAACTGGTCTGCGATGGGAGGCTGGGAAGGATGCTTCCCGTTCCACAGGTTAGAGCCGGAGATGCTGTGGGAGCACCGTTACCTCGATGTTCTCTTTAAAATCTTTAACCTGGTGGGCCCAACCAAGCCCTTTCTTGCTGTCGGAATTTCCCTCCGAGCTAGGGGTACCATTAGCACAAAGATGACAGTAGATAAAAGGAAGACCCATTACCCAACTTTCTTAGGCAGTTATTGGATGATCAATAAATGCTGCTTGTGCCAGCAATGCCCGCATCCCAAGAATGAAAAGGGCCGTATGGTACATTTTTCACTCTTGAATGACATTATTCTTTTTCAGAGTGTATTAGTTAGCTGGTGGTATAGTAGCAATGTCACTGGAATGATCATCTAAAGGCCCAGGCTGACGCTTTGGGGATGTTGAGTCAAACTCTATCACAGCATTTGGTAGAATTTAAATTCCTTAAGTAAATCCGGAATTAAAAACTAAGCTCAGTAATGGTAAACATGATGCTATGATTGATTGTCGTAAAAATCCATCCTTTAGGGAGAGAAATCTGCCATCTTCACCTGGCCTGGCCTACATGCGACTCCATGTGGTTAACTGTAACTGCCCTCTGAAATGGCTTTTCAGTTCAAAGGGCAGATTGGGTTGGGTAGGAAATGGTGGCATTGCCAATGTAGGTATCAATGGCAATGGCACCATTTCATCAAAGAACTAAAAGAAGCAGCAAAGTGCATAAAGACTGGGTGTAACGACTGAACAGAAAGCTGCCAGTTTTGACAGTACATCAGGCAAGGTTCTGCGCTAACCATGGTCTTGCAAATTTGAAGTAACTGAGGCAAATTTTATCCAGAGGGTGGGGCCCGGGCAGGATATTGGAGAGGAGAGAGTAAAAGAACACTCTGCAGCTTTGCCTAGGGTTTGGAATGTACAATAGAATTTCTCATTCATATATTTAAATACCTCCATGATCATTGCCCATCGTAATCTTTACAATTTGTGTATATCTTTCCCACATCCTACTGTCCTGTAACTCCAGCCTGAACATTTTCCTTCTCCTTTTACCCAGTCAGTGATAGCACCAGAATCCCATTCCCTGGATCAACTTCCTTTATAGCAAGAACAACCTTCCTCGGATAAGGAGACCGCACAGTATTCCAGGCGTGGTCTCACCAAGGTCCTGTCTAACTGCAGCAACATCCCTTGCTCCTGTACTTGAGTCCTCGTACTATGAAGGCCAATGTACCATTAGCTTTCTTTACCACCCAATCTATCTGCATGCTTACTTCGAGCGAATCCTGCACAGTGACACCCAGGTCATTACACATTCTCCTTTCTCAATTTATAACCATTCAGATGATAATCCACCTTCCTATTTTTGCTACCAAAGTGGGTTACCTCCCATTTATCAACATTATACTGCAGCTGCCACGTATTTGCCCACTCACTCAATTTATTCAAATCTCACTGAAATTTGGACCCGGTTAATACTAGACTAGTACTTGATTTATTTGTGAAGTGTCAGTATCGTTATTAAATGGTGGCAGCGAATTTGCACAGACCACAGTCCTGTGGCGATTGAGACAGGTTAGCAGTGAGTTTGTTCTTGGTGATGGGTGTTGAGGGATTCCTTTCTCTCACTTGGTTCGCACCATTACCAGGATAGTCACAAAAGGCCTCGGTATAGCAGCTGAACTGAAAGATGCCGCTTTAGACAGTGCATCGGTCCCTAACTGAAGTGTCAGCTCCATTCTGTGTTTGAGGCATGGAATGGAACTTTTAACTCAATCTTCTGAGGTGAGAGTGCTGCTAAGAGAGACAACCTGACACTGTGTAGGATAGTCTCCTGTTCAAGGCCACCAAAGCTGTTATTAATGCAGAGATCGTAATTTAAATGGACCCATGGGGCAACTTTTTCTCGCAGAGGGTTATGCATGTATGGAACGAACTGCTAGAGGAAGTGGTGAAGGCTGGTACAATTACAACATTTAAAAGGCATCTGGATGGGTATATGAATAGGAAGGATTTAGAGGGATATGGGCCAAATGCTGGCAAATGGGACTAGATACATTTAGGATATCTGGTCAGCATGGACGAGTTGGACTGAAGGGTGTGTTTCCATGCTGTACAACTCTGTGACTCTGATGTGCCTTTGGAGTATTGAAACAGCACTGAGCTACCAAAGAGGTTGTCGCCCCGCTGAAATAATATTAAGCAAGGTGTGTTCAGAACATAACCCCCAGCGGCGATTTTGCATCATGTCAGCAATACCGGATATGCAGGGTCTGTCGTATGCAGAAAGGTTGACCAGGCTGGGCTGGTACTCATTGGAATTTCAAAGAATGAAAGGCGACCTTATTGAAGCATAGAAGGTTCTCAGGGGATTTTACAGGCTAGATACGAAGAGGTTGTTTTCCCTTCTGAGAGACTCTACAATAAGAGAGCATAATTTCAGAGTACAGAGTCGCTCAGTAAGGACAGAGCTGAGGAGGAATCTTTTCTCTTGGAGGGTAATCACTCTCGAATTATTTACCACAAAGGGCTATTTGAGGCTGGGTCATTAAGTATTTTCAAGGCTGATTTTTAATCAGTGAAGGAATCGAGGGTTATAGAACAAAGGCAGGGAAGTGGAATTGAGGATAATCGGATCAGCCACCAACTAATTGAATAGTGGAGCAAACTCATTGAGTTGTGTGGCTTATTTATACTGTCACATTTTATGGTCTGATGGTCTGTGGGATGGCTGCAAGTATAATGTATGCTTCATTTAGGGAGGCGAGGACCACAAGTGGTATTATCACCAGACTAACAATCTAGAGAATGAGGCAATGTTCTGGGGACCTAGGTTCAAATCCTGCCATGTCAGATGGTGGAGTTCGAATTCAATAGATGATCTGGAATAAAGAATCTAATGATGAACATGAAACCGTTGTTGATTGACAGGAAAAACCCATCTGGCTCACTAATGACCTTTTGGGAAGGAAACTGCCATCCTTACCTGGTCTGGCCTACACGTGACTCCACACCGACAGCAATGTGGTTGATGCATAACTACCCTCTGGGCAATTAGGGATGGGCAATAAAATGATGGCATAGCCAATGATGCCCCCATCCCATGCATGAACTAAAAAAAAGTGCTCAGTTTGTGCAACTGGTGGTAACACCAAATTAAATTTGGCAAACTGGGAGAATGGCTAACATTAGTTAGTTGGAGTACTGTGTGCAGAGGAGATTCACCAGGATGTTGCCTGGTCTGGAGTGAATCAGCTTTGAAGGGAAACTAGATAGGCCTGCCGTGTTCATCCAGCCCTGCACCTTGTTGTCTTAGATAGGCTGGGGTTTGTTTTCCTTAGAGCAGAGATGGCCGAAGGAGGATCTGATTGTACAAATTTCTGAGGGGCAAAGACACTGTAGATAGGGAGAGATTTTCCCCTTAGTAGAGGGGACAATAACCAGAGGGCAGTTTTAAGGTAAACAGCAGGAGGTTTAGAGGGGATTTGAGGATTATTTTCACCCAAAACGTTTGCCTAAAAGGGACTCACTGTATCCGAAGGGACGGTCGAGGTTGGAGCCTCCAAGACATTTACGAACTATTTAGATGAACGCTTGAAATGCCATCACAAACAAGGTATGGGTCACTTGCTGGAAAATGGGATTAGAATAGCCTGCTCCCACACTGTAGGGATTCTATGATTTAGGATATATGGAAACTGACATTACTTCTGTTGCTCAATCGCGTGATAAAGTGGATCTAAATTAAAGGAGATGGAGCTCCAACCCAAATCGACCTATGTTAGCAGCTTCTCCAAGGGATATTCCAAAATGAACTGGGGAGAAAAATACTGGTTTTCTACACCTGGAGCATTGATAACCAGAGTGATCAGCATTGTTGTTATTCCTAGAGGGGCTTTATTTACTGCAGATCAGAGCCAGAATTAGCAACATATGCAGAGGGGGCACAAGGCAGTTTTGAAACTCACCCTGCTGGTGAATCACGGACCAGGGAAAGGCAATGTGATTTAACAATGGCACACTCAATTCTGAGTCAGAAGATCCTTGAGCATCAGCCGAACTGGTGTAAAATTTTGTCTCATCCAAATGATAGTAGCTTGGATAATGCAGTCCTCTCTTAGGGCTGCAGTGCAGTGTCAAAAAAAAAATGCTGTGGAGTTGCATGTGGCTCATTAAGGATTTGTGTGCTACAACCACCCCCAACCCAACTTGATCAATCAAACCCATCAAGTGGCTTGTTTTAATGTTTAAACTTTTACTAACATGGTATTTGTGAGAAAATATCTCTAAATTAACAATTCCTTTGTAAAACAATGTCTTTAAAATGTTGTTGAGGTTGTGGTCTTAAAGTGTTACGCTAGTAGTAAACATGGGCTATCGAATATTAATTTCTATCACTTGTTCATGCCTGTGGGATAAAATAGCTCATTAAAAAGGTAGAAACATGGGTCTAAAATGGCTGCAGTAGTCACACACATTGAGGTAAACTTTGTGAGACCCATGAGGAAAAAACAAAACCATCTACATTGAGATTACCACTTTTATCTGAAGACATTGATACCACGCACAACTGAGACAGCATCAAGTAATTTGCATTTCCAATTTTAGAGTCATAGAGTCATACAGCACGGAAACAGGCCCTTCA